TTTGAGGAAACGGTTGTTAAATAGTTCTGGGGCAATCAGCCCTTAGGTTCTGTGTGCCCACTAAACAGAATTAATTGCACAAGTGTTGAAGTAAGACTCCCTAATAACCCTTGACGATGGAAATAGAGACTTCAGTAACAAGCAGTTACACTAGTTACAGATCTGACTATATGCTTGCCATTATATGTAAGTGTGTATATTTGCCTGTTACTGTTTGTCTGCAATGGATTATGTAATCTGCCAAGGTTTATTTTATTATCTCGAGGTTTCAATGTGCACACAAGATGTTTAGCATTCGATCCCTCATTTAAATCACAGGCTACTTCCATCGCAGGGTTAGAGACTGTTTTTGGAGCCATCGAAATCTAAACCAAATATTGTGTTACATTAACAGCTCTAAACAAAGAGAGTCAGCCCTCGCTCGGTCAATCAAGCAGAAGAATCCGAATAAGCACAACCATCATAATTTGCACTCTGGTTTCCCCAACAAGGAGCTTTGTTTTTTTTCCTGTGCATCATAACAAGTGAAACGAATCAGTGACCTAATTAGAGGAGGACAGACAGACCTACTGTCAGCAGAATGCTTGATTGCTGCTGCTGCTGCACATTATACAGCTTCAGGTGTTTCGTCAACATCAGTGCTGTGTGGCTGTCAATTCTTAGCATGACCCAAGATGCTCTTCGACACACCTTGCGTTCATGGTATGATGTCTGACTAGCATCCTGTGGCTCTCTGGAGAGGCTGTCTGAGCCGATTAGAAAAGCAAAAACATCCACTGTAGCTGGTGTAAGTTTGGACAGGAAAACACAAATACTACTGAGGCTACAATTTTCTCCACTGCTAAAAACAGATTAATAACGTGTCGGACACATACAGCCAACAAGTGCAGGATTTGTGCCAAGTGCCAATTACAAGTTGTTTTTTTTGCTATCTTTTTCAAATGTTTAAAACAAATAATCAACTTGGCACGCAAAGGCAACCAAGCAACTGTAGGATCACTTAGACACAAACAGATGCACTGATGACAGATTATTTAGTGATATTCATCCCATCCACAAACATAATAATCGCCTTGGAGACAGGCCTGTGCTTTAACAGATGCTGCCAAAATGGCAGCCAAGCAAATCTATGTAAAATTTCTCCAACATAGACATAGAGATAACTGCCTACACTGACCATTTTCCCACCTGCTCGGCCATTCCTTGGAGACACTCTTCTTAGCTGCAGCATTGACAGACTTGTCAACATATTGTCAACCACTCCACCCTATAGAGCCTACATTCTCCCTTCATATCACACTAAACACAGAGATTAACACAAAGTTTGCACACACTATCTTTGCTGATGGCCATTTGCATGTGGAGAGTAGTGACTCAAAAGGGCCAGTTCACAGCCACCCAAGCAGATACAGACAACTAAGGGGCGCTTTGATTGCCAGATTCATAATGAGGCAGACCATTATGATTAACCATATAGTTCATCATCAGTATGCAGGCGCAAAAAGGATTAGGCTGTGTGGTTATTTGTTTAGTTTTTTTAAAAAGGGAAGCCTGCTGTTTACAATGAATACACTGTACATCTGTGGTCACACAAATATGAAGCAGGGTGCTCTTTCTAGTTTTGGTGAAGATCGAAGACCTTCAGTAGTTTTCAGGAGCCCATCAAGGTCATCTGCAACCCCTTGTGCCTCTTCTGTAAATAAGAGCTATTGCTTTCACTCATGAATCCGCATGACTGATGTATCCTGGGGTGCACCGGCCTGCTAGATACTGCTTTTCTTACAGAGTAGCTGGATTTACTCTGGCTTTTACACTGCGGCTGACAAAAAAAAGCACAGCCCCGAATAAGCTAACTGCATTCCAATATACTCAAATAACAGCCACATAAAAAAAAAGGTGAAAAAAAACCTGAGGAGGCAAACACTTAGTGTATCTGTCATCCATCATGCCAAAGCATGAGATCTGCCATTGCGCCCTGCAGTGAGGCAGATACAGGCGGCTACAGAATAATAATTATGTGTACACCTTGGAGAAGCCGCCATGGGATAGTGTGATTGCATTGATTATTTGGCGGAGAGGTAATAGGTATTATTACTTCGCCTTAGCGACATCTCACATGCAAGCGACGCCCATCCAGCCACAAGTCGCTGGACCATTATCATCTGTGCAAACACGGGACGTATATTCGTTTTACCCCCTTGTCTATTAGGGCCAGTTTTTGCGCGTCTTAAGTACAATAATCACAGGCCACATTCCCATGGGCATCCGTGAGAACCAAAGTCAGCGCTGCCATATAGCTTTCAGAGCAGGTCAGTGACAGACACGGGTTGACATATAGCCAAGAGGTTTACCGACAGTCACCGGCGATGTCTGTAAAAACAAATCTAGGCTACATCGAATGTGAAGGAATAAAGAGCGGATCCTTACCGTATCACCAGTCGCAGCGATATAGGCGCATATATATACATCCAGCGCACACTGGAGTCAGGAATAACCTTTTCTGCGCTCTTTCACACAGTCCCCAGAACGTAGATCTCGGATAGAAATATAGGCTATTTTCCCAGTCGATAAATAATTTCACTGATTGGCGCCTCGACTCCGGGTCTGGTTCTTGCTGCCGCAAAACGACGTGGGTTAATCTTAACCAAAGATGTGATGGAGATAAAGCTGAGGGTGTAATAAACCAGTAGCTGCGTGCTTAGTATCCCGATCAGCGCTCACACGAGAGGCGGTATCGCGTCCATCCAATGCACTAAGTCCAGTGAAGTGCTGGAGGTGGGCAGAGGCGTATCTCTCACTCTCTATCCGTCTGTCTATCCCGTCCTCCCTCCCTCCCTATCTTTCTCGGCTGCCTTTATGTTCTTACTGACTTCTGCTGAAGTCCACAGACGCAGAGCGCAGCGGGGCAGAGGACCGTGGTCAACAGAGAGAGAGAGAGTGAGGGGTCAGAAATGACAAACCAATTTGGAGGCGTGGTGGATGCTCGGTTGAGCGAGCGCAGCCTGGCGAGAAGAGAGCGTTGCAGGCGGGCGGAGAGCCGATGGTGGGTGGAGGGCCGGAGAGGGGGGCTATGATTCCTGCCTGGGGGATGCAGAGAGAAAGAGGGAGAGATGAAGTGGGGTATCTGGTGGAAAACACGGAACTGGATTTAGCTCCTAAATCTCTGGACCTAGGGCTCCACCTGCCGTGTGAAAACACATAGGAGCTCCCAAATGAGAGGCGTTTTTGGTTTTTTTTTTTTTTGACACGGCTTGGTGTATGATTGCATAGGCCTGCACTTGTGCCTTTGGGTGACAACTAGAATATGAACAGTTTGTACAGTTCATACAAGCTATACATACATACAGCTAAATAAAGAGGTTATTAGCTCGTTAGAGCTCGTTATGGTCCCTGGACCACTATTTGGGATTTAGAAAGTCAGAAATTAAATGTGAACAGTGTAGTAGGCTATAACAATTCAGCCTACAGCGAATTGTCCTGTATGGGTATACAGGGTAAAGTTAACATTAAGAAAATGACAAATTCATAGCAGCAAAAAAAAAAAAAAGCCAAGCCAATTAAAATAAGGTCTAAATATGAAAATTAGCCACTGCCTTGAAAAATATGTATTTTATTTCATCCCAGGCCACATGCATATAATAATAATTAAAAATGAATCAGTCAAATCAAATCAAAGTGTGTATCCTCTCAAGGCAGCCTAATTTTCTAGCTCCAGGTAGGCATATACTTAATCTTAATAGCTACTTAGCGTATAATAACGTATTCTTGTGCTATTCCTCACAATCTTTGATTCTTTACATTTTTTGGGATTTTACATTCATTTTCTCATAAGGAGGTATCAGGGACAGGGACTGTGTAGGCTAGCTAAATGACTTTGGAGTTTAATTGGCTTTCACCGCAATATACATCAGCATTATTTGCAGAGTCTCCCACTGAAATGCATTACAGGATTACTGTAGTCTAGTTCTTTTTCATTAGGGATGAGCCCTCTGTGCCTGAAGATCAGAGGGTGACATGCGCACTGCACGGACACAATGCTGCAAAATAAAGCGCACAGCTTGCTTCTTGATAGCTTGCCGTCTCTCAAGAAGCTTTTATGACATGTCCCATCGGTAAAGTGTCATTCTTGGTATTCGGTACTGGTAAATTTACCCTGCGGATTGGTGGAGGTGGTGGATGTGCTGTGCTCGGAGCTCAGTGGGGACCTGTTGATAGCCCACCGGCGCTGCAATGGAGGTGAGATGAGGCTTTCTGCAACAAGCTATTCTGAAGTGTCCACGATGTCTGTCAGTTCGTCACAGCAATATGTCTAATGTGCCCGTGTTATTTTTAAGTAAACAGACTGCCTTCATATAAAATTTGTAGTTTATGGGCCTGCGTAATTAATGTAAACCATGAATCTGTAAGGATTTGCTTTTATTCTGAAGCAGTCAGTATCGCTATAATATCAACAGGTACAAGATATAGATTTCATTAGATTGCCGTGAAGGGCATATTGTTAGTGCGAAACCCCACGTGCCTATCAATGGCTCCTAATTAGATTTCTGATGAGATGTTGTCATTTTCAGCCCATCATTTTGCAAATCAAATCATGTCATTGGTATCATGCTTTGATGGTATACAGGCTTCCCCTTAAGTCAGAATGGTCGGGAGGCCATGTGTCTCTGTTAATTACCATCACTTGCTGATAAAGCCTTTTGGAGAAGATTTAAATCCTGCTAAAGAGCTTTAGTGCACAAGCAAGGCGCTTGCAAACAACCATGGCACAGGCCTTGTAAGAGAGGATGATACCATGCTACAGATGTAAAATAGATATTGGTTCACTAATTATTCCTTTGCACATGAGCAGGGGGAGACCAAGTGTCTCTGCCATAATGGATCAACAGTGGAGATTTCTTCAAGAGGAAACCTCACCATGGCACTTTTAATCTACAAATACACTGTCAAAAATGTAAATAGTGAAACTGTTCAAGGTCATGTTGAATCAGAAAACTTTTGTTTCATGTTGTTATTTGTGTTGCAGGTGCCAAACAGAGAAGAATGACATTTAACTGAGACAGCAACTCACAAAGAAACAGTTCATCTCAACAATCTTGTCAGTCTATGATGGAGATCATGGGTAAGTGGACCTGCCGATTTAGAGCGCCGTTTAAAGCCAAATATGTTCCAGTATCCTCAATAAGACTCCCATACCGCTGCCATCATCAGAAGGCTTACAATTAAGGTGTCAGGCATGGCTGCCACAGCCAAACAGGAGAGAATAATTACATGTGCAGGTGGCACAGGGCTCACAGTCCGGTCGGTAGTCAAAACTTTGTGGTGAAGAGTTTACAGGGTCTTAACCTTCTGCCACATACAATTACTACAATTGTGCTTGTGCTCATTAGCTGCTGCTCCACTAAATAACAAGGGCAATATGACCTGACACAACATTTCAGTTTCTGCCTGTGCATTTTTGGTGCTGCAGAATGGATAGCACATCCTCATTTAGTACTATCTTAATGTTTCTTGATTATTTTTTTATGTAGTTTTTTTGTTTGTTTTAGGCACAAGTGAACTAGTTTGAAATATAATAAGTTTGCCAGGAAGCTGGATGGAGAGAAATTTGACAGCATTTGAAAACCTTTGGAACTGAAGGAACCCACACTCTTGCAGCCATGGTTCAGAGATATTTTTCAGACAAACACAGTTCTTGTCCTCTCAAAAATCCAAACACAGGTTCTTCTTTTCTGGATCAGTTCTGGCAGAGGATGTCATTCTGGATTCTAACGACAGATGTTGTATCTTGCCAAAGTCATTTTGCAAGACTTTAGAAAACTCCTTTATTTAAGTATTAATATTTCATAGTTCATTATCAAAGGTCTGCGTCTGGGTCACGCAGCAGCTGCTGCAACATGTGGCATGTGGAAACTAACACAAAGCCCAACAAGAGAAATCCTGACTCTGAATGACACAAATGATATACAATTTCTCTGCAGATACTCAGTGTGCCTTGGAGGCTGTGGAGAGACTGCTAGCCAAACTGAAGGAGAGGGGAGAGGCCCCCACACAGGAGAAACTCTTCCTGCTAAAGAGTGTCCTGCAGAGCCCCCTGTTCCATCATATACTCAGCTTACAGCAAGCTCAGCGGAAGCCCCCGGCAAAGGTATAGCGTGAGCATGAGTGCGTGGGTGCTTGGTGTATATTGAATGGTGGGGATGGAGTCGGAATCATTCCCAAAATACTGAATGCAGGAACCAAACTGGATGAGTAATCAGCTTACCTAAGCTTACCACTAAAGCCCTAAGAAGGGGGGCAGGATGGGGTGGGGGGTGGTGGATGGCTGTATATCATGGCAGGAGTTTGAAGAAGTCATCTGTAACATTGTAATAACTTTTGAGCTGACGTGTGTGTGTGTGTGTGTGTGTGTGTGTGTGTGTGTGTGTGTGTGTGTGTGTGTGTTTGTGTGTGTGTGTGTGGTGGGGGGGGGGTCCTGGCAGTGGCTAATATATGTCACAAAGCAATGTTTATTCACACACATCTGCTTCATCATCATAGCCCACACACATGCATGGTGTAAGTGTTGTTGTTGTTGTTTGAAATTTGTCACACCATCAAGGTATTTAACTGATTTGTCAGCGGTAATCATCCTGGCTTTGTAATTGTCTGTTGTGGTGCACTGTAATAGGCTAACCCTGTAAGCACCACAGGTTTACACACACACACAACCGTTATTATGTTAGCTTTGTGAGGTGTGAGCCTGTAGTCATTTAGCATCTCTGCATTCCCGGAAACATGGCACTGGATTATGTCAGTGGTTTCTGGATTTTTATCAGGATTGACACTGACACAGTTTTTGCTAGTTCAAGTTCTGGTTTCTTATCAAACTCCCAAGTTTTTGGATATAGCATTAAGAATGTAAGTGCAAATCCAAGGAGTGTGAAGTTGCTTATTAGTATGTTGATAGTGTCTTTTATTCTACTACTGCTATTTCAACAGGTGTCAAGGTTGCTAGAACGAAAGCATACAGCTCAGAAATAAGCATCTACTGAAACTCCCTGTTAACGTTTGAAACAGGAAACCTAAAAGAAAAAAGGGAAGAGTCATGTGGTAGTGAACAGAAGCATTTATCTCAGAACCTTATATTCGTGCTCTCCTATCTTTTCCCTCTTTGCTCCATTTTAAACCTATCTTTCTGTACTTTTTTCCTTTTGGCTAACATACACTCACCCTCCCTCCCTGTTCTCCCTCCCACCTCTGTCTTCATTGTCTCACAATGCCCTCCTTTCTCAATTTCTTTATCCTTTCTATTTCCCTCCATCACTCTCTCCACCCTCATCCGATTCCTTTCTTCTATTAATGTCCCCACCTCTCTATCAATCCCTTTCTGCATCTCTTTATCTCCCTCATCCATTTCCTGCCCAATCATTCTCTCCCCCCTTTCCCTTGCATCCCTCAATCCTTCTCTCATTCATCTCTTCTCTCTTTATCCCACCCAATGCATCTCTTTTGCTTCTGTCCTCTCCATTTTTACACTTTTATCCTCTTCTTCCCATCTTTCCATGTGTCCTATCTATCCACCCCTCATTGCTTTCTCAATCCTACAAGGGGAAGAAGATTTCCAAATCTGTGTCTATGAACTGTGGCCCCTGCCAGGGCATGGCGCTGGGCCTGAAAGCACTGAGCCACAGTGACTCCTACACATGGGCCATGGAGAACCGAAGGCCCAGCACTGCCAGATCCGTCCACAGGGATGGCAGCATCTCTTCTCTGGGCTCACAGGATCTGTCCTTCTCAGACATCTACTCAGACAACTGCATTCACACTGAATCACAAGTATGTAAAATATCCATGGTAAATGACAGATAATTTAGCAGTTTATACTTAAAGCACTCCAACCATTTTTTTCTTTTCAGTTGTAAAAACAAATCATTATTCCAAATGTCACATTTTATATTTGAGAATATTATATTACATTATAAAACTCAAGCACAGTTGGATAATACATCGTCTGAGGGTTTCAGCATCAGAGGCTGCTCAGCTAACTCGATGTCATTTCAAGTTTGCTTTTGTTTTACAAGTAACATTTATTTTTTAGTACTGCACTCCCCCTCGAATCTCCCGCACCATGTCGATGGGGAGAAACCTGTCTGCTATTGCTCATGAGGTACTGTAAGCTTACATGGGAAGTGACACTGTAGCTGGTAAACGTGTGTCTGTGGATGTAGATAAACAATTAAATCAAACACATTTATCACTTTTTTTTACCAGTTAAATTACAATAGATTTTCTCTTTCTCTCCCCCTTTTCTGTCTCCCTCCCTTCGTCTAACCTCTGCAATGCTAGAGGCGTCATGTGGAGATGATAGAGCTGATCAATGATGGGAAAGGGCTAGGTTTTGGCATCATAGGAGGACGGAGCACAGGGGTCATGGTCAAGACCATACTTCCTGGTGGAGCTGCTGGACAGGTAAATCCACCTGCCAATTGTAATCGCATAGCCACAACATATTCATTAAGAGTTAGTGAGCCTAGTTTAGCTTAAAGAGAAAGACTGGAAGTGTCCCCACTACCCTCCACTCACTTCTAGTCTTTATCTTTAAGCTAATCTGCCTCTGTTCAACAAAAAAAAAACCCTACCAAACCTCCCTACCTCTTGTAAAGGTCACTAATTAATACGTTGTAACTCGTTTGTTTAATCCGTAGAAACAAGAAATTGTGGTTTTACAGTCTATTTCTTGGCCTGGGACAGTTCCTGAAGTATACTTGACATGACAAGAACAGTCCAAGCTAATCTTCCTTGGACTTAGAGCTAATAGCCCCCTTGCTGTGACTTCATATTTAACAGACAAACATGACTTGTATCATTTTTCTCATTTAACTCTCAACAAGGTAGTGAAAAAGTGTTAAAACTCAAGCTATGAATGAATGAAATCTTAGAACATACAACATACTGAAATGTTAAATGAAGTGTAGAATCTGCAGACTGTATTTAAAAACTTTAGCAACAGTCCACACTAAACGTTTTTGTTAATGGGGCTCCGTAGGATAAGCGTTTGCGCAGTGGAGATCAAATCCTGCGCATCGGAGATACAGATCTGGCGGGCATGAACAGTGAGCAGGTGGCACAGGTGAGATATCATTTGTAAAAAAAAATATTACTAAAGTAGATGATGAGTTTAAAGGCTCAGTGTGTAATATTTAGGAGGATCTATTGACAGAAATGCAATATAATATACATAAATGTTTTCAGTGGTGTATAAAGACCATACATAATGACTGTTATGTTTTTATTACCTTTGAATGAGCCATTTCTATCTACATACACCACAGGTCCCTTTACATGGAAGTCGCCATGTTGCACCGCCATGTTTCTACAGTAGCCCAAAAGGACAAACTGCTCTACAGAGCGCGTTTTGTCACTACCTTGAATATGAATAATGATAATGATAATGAATAATCAGAATCTTTTTTTCTTCCTTAAATCTTTATTGCAAAAACAGATATAAAGTGTACATGGGACATAAACAAGTATACAGAAATTTGATTTGTGCAAAAACACATATTGCATATACATATAACAGTTAATTTGCTGTCCATGTAGTGTGAACTGGGTGTCTGCGTGTTGTTTATATGCTCTGATAATGCTAACCAAACACATTTTTGTAGTAGCATCCATGTTGATTCCACATTGCGACATAAGAGCACAGGAACACACACTGAAGTCAGAAGAACAACTCGGGAAATGAGACCATCTGAGCAGTACGTGAATGCGCAGTGAGCCGTCGGTTGCAATTTGCAACCCTCGCACTAGATGCCACTAAAACGTACACACTGAACCTTAAAGTGCTTTTTTTACCTCAAGTCTTTGTCTGTATGATAATTCTTTATGTAACTGGTGTTTAAATAACAGCTGTCTGACCTAGTCTGACCCACTCTCTGTACGTATCTATTGTTATCCCATAGTTAGTTCCATAGGAAATCTCAGGGAAGCAGATGTGTACTGCTCTTTAAAGGAGGTGGTGCAATTAACAATTGGTTAACTTCTCCACCTCCGCTAAAGAGCAGCGCATAGCCACTTTTCAGTGGAACCATCTGGGAGAGCTTCCCAAGCAGTGGATGAGGCACTCCTAAACAGGGTTAATCTACTCTTGTGTCTCTTTTCTTTCGTTTATTTATTAATTGTTGCATACTTTTCATCCATTCACCAACGACCAACTGGCCCAGGTACTACGAAATGCTGGTACCAAGGTGAAACTGCTCATTGCCAGAGATATTACAAAGGACAAACACCTTTCCTCTCCTGTCCTAAGCCAGGACAGCTTGGACGACAAGGTTTGTGTGTGTGTGTGTGTGTGTGTGTGTGTGTGTGTGTGTGTGTGTGTGTGTGTGTAAAGAATAACAGCACATAATAAAGGTCAAATTCAAACTTTTTATGTAAAATAAATGGCTAATCAGTGACATGTGTAATACAGTATTCCAAAGATGTGCATAGCATTTTTCTGCCTCTGCTACTTTCCAGCTCAATGACTTGAATGATGACTATGAGTTCAGTGTGCAGTTCACTAAGAACAGTCGGGGCCTGGGATTCACCATTTCTTCCTACATAGGTGACCTAAACTCAGGTAATAATAGCTATCAACTAGTGAAAAATGAGCTAATTATCATTATTCCAAGCTAAGTTAATAGAAACAGACTGGGGAAATAGCAGAAGTATGAGCAGTACCCCTATGTAACACCTTATTGATTATTGAGTTTAGAGAGCATTTACACAATCAGTGCTGAGTTTTCCTTCAATTTATCTTGCTTTCCTCAGTCTACAGCGCTGGTGTGATAGTGAAGAGCATAACGAAAGGCAGCTCTGTCGATCAAGATGGGCGCATCCACATCGGAGACATCATCCTGTCCGTGAGTTTCTACAAACTCAACAGATGGCTTTTGTGTTCTCTCATGACAGATACCTTGTTGTCTCAAATATTCTCTACTGAATCTTAACGATTTCAGCATCTCACAATCTGCACAGTTTGCAACTTTTAGTAGTTCCATATACACCAATTAGGGTCTTATTTTAGCTGATGAAGGGGATTTCTTCGAGTTTTACTTTTACTCCCATCCATCTCTTCATCATCTTTAGCTTTTACCTATATGTGCTTTTCATTGTGCACTATTTTTATTTTTGATTACTATTGATTTTTTTTTTTACTTTGTTATTTAATTTACCTGCACTTGCCGAAATCATCCACTCCGTCAACAGAAAGTTTGCTTCAGTCTCCATCATACCTGTGTGTTTTCATCCTGGCTCTTTTCCATGCTCCCTACTTTCACATCTCTTGTCCCCTCCCTCAGGTGGATGGGGTGAGCCTGCAGGGCTGCAGCGAGCAACGTGCCATGGAGGTGCTGAGGAGGACAGGTCCACTGGTCAGACTGAAGTTGCTGAGGAAGGCTGTCCGCCTGAGTCACATCCTGCCCCCAGTTCCTCCCCTGCAGCCCCTCCGACATTCCCATAGCTTCCATGAGGGCAATCCCTACAGAGTGGGCCTCAACAAGATTCAAGAGACAGGTGCTTTTAGTGCTGAGAGAGGAGAACGTATTGGCTGAGTGGAATCATAAGGGGACTGGTTAGAGAAATGGAGAGCATGTGATTTGACAGCATGCACAACATGCACTTGTGTAAATGATTATGCAAGTAATCATCCACAGGTGCTACCTGCACTGTCTGGTTTAATCATTTATGACCAAATTTATCTGTTCAAACTAGACATAAAACATATTTTGGTGCTTGTTTGGATGATGAACTTTGCTAGCTCCTGCATGCTGTCATCTCTCAAATGCTTGCTGCGAATGTGTACACATTATCTTTTTTTTAACTCAGGTGTGTTTGGATACCTGCATGTGTCGTCAAACGTGTTTCCCCGTCTCCCAGGAATCTGCTCATTACGTGAAATCTCCCGGCGAGCAGCATACGCCAACAGAAGACCCCGACATCATTCCAGAAATGGTAAGCTCCCCTTCCCATACTGCAGTGCAGTCTGGAACTGGATCGTGGGACTTGGTCTGATATGCTGATTGGGCTCAGGGAACAGCAATGTGGCAGTGAAGCATGCTCTTTGATGGGAGTCTATTTATAGTGTTGTGCAGCCATGTGTTTATCCAACTCATTCAGCTCATTCCAGATGATTTGTCTCTCACCCCGCCTGCATATATGTCTTTATTTAGACAAGGACTTTTTGGCTTGATTAGAGAGCACAGCCAAATAATCCCTGATTGCTCTGAGGCTTTAATAGATGAACGAGAAAACATTAGTTTGCAAATCATAAGATGGTGGGTGTGAATATGCATGCTGTCTGGCTGACAGGCTTTCTGTTGACATCCTGCTTTGCCACAAGAAGAATTATGTTGTCTTCTCTTTATAAAACAGCCAAGGTGATGTTTTCAAATAGCCTATTCTTTATTGATTGGATCATCTAGGCCCAAGGAACAATGTGAATGGGGATCTGTGCATGTCTGCGTTTGCATATCTGTGTGTGTGTGACATGAGGGGGATTTTCTTTGTGTGTGTGCACATTTTACAGGTGTGAAACTGACACCAGCTGAGGAGGAAGACCTAAGGAAGAGGTGGCAGCATGCAGTCGGACCGCGATATGAAGTTCTTGTACGAAGATAAGCGTACAATATACTATGCATAGATGCTTTATCATTTTATTTCACCCTGTACAACTTTACATTTTAATAAGTAATTACCCATGTAAAGAAGAAAACAACACTTACCTCTCACAGTGTGATGCCTTTACTTACCCTCAACACCCTTCTTACCCACCAAACTTTGCTTCTCTTTGTTTTGTTTCCCACCACTCAACTTCACATCAGGTGTGTCATCTGGAGCGTTTCAGTGAGACAAGTGGTCTTGGCATCAGTCTGGAGGCTCGGGCGGGACATCACTATCTGTGCTCTATCTTACCTGAGGGACCCGTTGGCCAAAGTGGCAAGATTTTCACTGGAGACCAGATATTGGAGGTAACCGAATGATACTGATCCTTTCAGCCAGTTGCTCTAATTTGATAAAGTAATTTGATAAAGATATGAGATCATATAATATGGAATAAGATATGATCTATGTGGGACTGATTATTTTGCCACATCTGCGGGATATACATGGATGACTAATAAAAAGGCTTAGTAAGGAGGCTATATTTAGTTCACTGTACCATCATTTCTGTCATGCTTCTCCCTTTCATTCAAGCAGTTAGCAACAATAGCATGTTCTTTAAAGTGGTTAGTTTTTTTGCTTTTCGGTAAACACCACACAATTTCAAGTACAGTATGCACCTTTTTCCCTTAAGGCAGCGAAAACAGTCATAAGAAGGTGGGTGTGAGTATGTGTGCCTCTGTGCCTTTGTGCTTGTACTGTAGTGGGAGAGCTTGCCCTCCTCCCCCTCCACTGGGCAAGTTCATGCACCCACACGTATCACTCATCATGATTAGCAGTCTGATGAACTCTTGGACATAGATGTAGGATATAGGATATAGACAACACTGCACACTGGATAGTGTCTTTCTTATCTTTGAGTGCACAGCCAACATCTGTGTCAGAGCTCAATCCTTTGATCGCCTTCAGACAACATTAGCGAGGCAAAGCCATTGTTCATTTGCGTTTTTAAATTAGCTTCATAAGGTTTAGTCACCGCTTTCTGCTTTAATTGTTCATTCTGTGGCTTGATACAATGGTCACTAATTGCTCCTCACCAAAACTGAATCACTAAAAATATTCAATTTTAGGGCTGCCTAGCAGATGTAGTCATGAACATACAGTCATAGAAACAGAGTTACAGACAGACACAAATGTAAAATAATGTCCCAAAAAATATGAACATATTGCATCTTTAACCTCTGATCATCAGACCATTTGGGTTTTATATGTTTTTTTCTTGTTTTGTTTTTTAACTAAAAGCCAATTGTTGATCATAGGAATATCTAGTTTACAAATACTGCTCATTATTCCTGGCAGGTGAATGGGATCCCTCTCATTGGAGAGACACATAAGGAGGTTGTCAATATTCTGAAGGAGCTCCCGATGCACGTTTGCTTGGTGTGTTCTCGCATTGTACCCCCTGCAATTCTCGACAGTGATGAGGAAGAAGATGATGATGATGTCCATCTCACCCTGAAGGAGCTGCTGGCTGAGTTCAACGACAAGGTGAAAGCACACATGGATGAAATGAAGATTAGAGGGATTAAGAATTGGTATATTCCCTTAAGACAATATAAAACTGTATTAGAAATGTAACACCACAGCCACTGACATGCTCTTATCTTGAAAATATACCTCATTTACTCTGTCCTCTCTCTCCTCTTTGCTTATCCCAGTTGGACCAGGGCTGTGTCATTCCCTGCCCTAATGCTGAGGACATCACCAAGCGTGGAGTGCCCCCCATGTCACCTCCTCTGGCCATGTGGGAAAGAGAGGCTCAGGTGGTCGAGCTGGAGAAAGGCGAGTCGGGACTGGGCTTCAGTCTCCTGGACTACCAGGTCAGAGACATGCCCTTAAGCTTTTCTATAAATAGAACAGACTGGAATAGGCTGCAGTCTAAGAATATCAGTGTCGGGTTGGATAGGGTGAACACTAAGAAAATAGGGAAGCATGTGCACTATTCTGCAATTTGTGTGCTAAACTACTGAGACTGGAAAGTGTTGCTGTTTTAAAGTTTAGATTAAAAATATGGCCAATAATTAGCCAGTGCATAAAAATTGAAGCTTTACTATAGCTGACTGACCCTCTGTGAGACTACCCAATCCATTTCCTTGTCTTGTGTTAATAACAAGTCTGTAGGATAGACTGGTCATTTTATTCTGTTGTTTATCTGCATCAATCTCTCATTTTCATTCAAAATTTATCTAATTTAGATTACTGGTATATTCAATGAACCATCCTCTCCACCCTTATGTCAAACTCTAGGATCCAGAAGATGCCACAAAAACAGTTCTGGTAATCCGGTCCTTGGTGCCAGGTGGTGTAGCGGATCGAGATGGTCGCCTGCTGCCTGGTGACCGACTCATGTTCGTTAATGAAACTGACTTGGAAGGATCCAGCCTGGATTATGCTGTGCACGTCCTGAAGTCCACCGGCTATGGTCCTGTCTACATTGGAGTTGCCAAACCACTTCCGGTATTTAAAGAGATTTACATTTAAGTACTTAATTTGATTTAATAAGGAGTAAATTTATCTCAGAATATCTCAGAAACGCCTTCAGGGAATTTCTTCAAATTTGCCACTTAGACTCAAAGATGCACTGAGTAGAATTTGATGGCCACAGGTCAAAGGTCAAGGTCACTGTGACATCTTAATGTCCTGGAAGAACAGGCTTTTGGCCATTAAAGGTTATTGTGACCTCAAAATAAGGTATTAGCCGTAATTTAAAAATAAATTGGGCTATTCCAGATTTCACACACATAACTCATTGATTGGGACAACACAATGAATAAACAATAACTAGCACAGTAAGGGCTTTCCTTTATCTCGTCCATTTTGCCATTCACCTCCAGTCTTATTCTGAATTTTTCATTAGAATAACATGACTTAGTGAACAATGTATATTTTTAAATAGACTTTATACCTTTTATTCAATTCCTTACAAGTATTCACTACATATATTATATGAGTCTGGACAGATGTGGAAGTAAAAGGGAACTTGACTGGTTGGCAGAGGCATACAACTGCTGGGCGGTAATTCTGGTTGTGACTTCACCAAATCTTCACCCAAAAGGTTATAATCTCAATCTGATGTTGCAATATTAATATAAATCACAATGAAGTACATCAAATAAGAAATTGTTTATTGATAAAAAAAAACTGACTGATGACTGAACTAAATGTGACAAGTGTTTTTGACTAATTCTGCAAATGAAATACCTGACAAATAAAGGTCACATCACAATGCAAAAAAAAAAAACATTTCTGAAAAGACCAAAAAAGAATAACGCCCGATATATCTAATTTTAAAAGATCCAAATCGGTATCGGTCTTACAAATCACGTATCGGTCAGACTAATTTAGATTACAGTATACATCATCATATTGTGCAACACATCTGGGAAATGTGTCCTGAAACATATTGATTATCAGGGGCTGCAGCATATGTACACATAAATTTAAAAGTGGATTTCTTTTTCAGGATTTCATAAAATTCTTTACAAAAATTATATTTTATATTAATGAACTTGTAAAAAAATATGTATTTCCACATATATGCAAGACAATCACTTAAATGTTTTTCTTGGGAGTACAGTATTTCTTTTTGTTGTGGACTGTGGCTTAGTAACAAGGACCAGAGAATCCAGTTACAGGCCGTCTGAATTTTTAATGCAGCTGAGAGATGAACACAATGCTCGACCACACTACAGATGGAGAGAGAAGAGGAGAGGAGAAGAGGGTGTCTAATTTACAGTCACCGTCTTTAGACTGCCTGCCTACATTTGAATTTAAGCACATCCTTTTTTTCCTCAACTTTGGAATTTTGTATTCTCAGCTGGAACTGTGTGGTGGCTTAACGCCCATCTCAGAGAGGAGCACGCGGGCTTCCTGTGATGACACTGACAGCCACACTCAGGTCAGCCTGCTAGCTGAGGCAGGGGAGACTAACACCAACACTTGTTACTCTGAGGACAACAGCATCATCCAGCCGCGTTACATTACAACGGTATGTCATACAACACAAAATGAAATTCAGTAAAAAAAGAAAAATTGATTTATATTGCTGGATTCTTCTTTATACATGCAGGAGCTTATTTTATGCTCGCTTTTGTAGTTAGAAAACAGTAGAACTTTGGTCCACAGGAGAGTAAAAGGGCCATTTGTTTGTCTCTTACATTTGGCTTGGCTAGATAATAGTGTTTCTAATTTTTTTTTATTGCACTTGTTTTTCTGTGTATATTGTGTGCAGAAAATATATTTGATATACATAGAACTGTCACAGCCCTTGATGAAATTCAAGTATGTTGGATCATAATGCACAATCATCTAACAGAGATGTATTTCGGTTGTGACTTTTGTATTTGTGTTGTGGCTTTTGTATTTGGCCTGACACCTCTGGGCCACCATATAACAGGATTCTTGTAGATGATTCATTCGTAATGCTTCAGCAGGACAGTGCAGTGACAGTTACAGTAGCACTGCAGCACCCTAAATCTTGCAGTCCATCACACAGGAAGCATTGCTCATTACCTTGCAAACCTGAGATTCTGTGGGTAGCCATTTTAGCTCCTCTAAAGGTGGTTTCTATGACAGTGTATGCTCTCTCTGTTAACGCTCTATGGCGGGGAGCTTAGAGCCGCCTGTATCGGTATCACTGGGTCAAGTTGAGAGAAAGTACTCAGTGTCAAAGAGTTGCTCCTCTATTGTGGCCTCAACTCAATCCTATTGAGGCAGCCCTTTGTACTCGCTTTTGCTTAATTACCAACAATTACCTCTCAATGAAAAGCGCTTACTGCTTGCATGACATTGGCACCCGGTATAGCACAAGGACATATAGTACTGCCTCAACGTCTCCCACACATACACACTCACACACACAAACAGACTCAGAGCAGCAAGTGTCAGTGTGTTCTCATCAAAGGCAGGCTTGTTGCAAAGGTAGCTTCAGAACTTCAGTTCTTCTTGTACTTTCTGTGAGGGTTCAAAGACCATCTCCTTTTTACCCCTTTTCTTTGGGAAATGCCCAGTGGGACCAAAGAAGTGTTTTACATCTCAGAATTACTCCAAAGGCTTTCACCTTGGAGAGTTAATAGTTGTTTGAAATCATTTTTTTGTCGCACCAGAAATCTGATTAGTTGGGATGATAGCAGTTTAGAACTTTAGGGCTACTATTTTTGCAAATGGATTACTTTTCTATAACTTGTAAGATTTGCTCAGTATAATATGCACAAAAGCCTTGTTGTAGGAAACCAATTATCCACCATTATTGTTGCTCCTATACTGTATAGCCCAAACAGTGATGGCTCTAGGGATCTGTCTGTCGGTCAGTTGGTCCAGACTGAAATATCGCAAAAATTATTGGTGAACTTCCTCTAGTGCCACCATGAGGTGGAAGTTTGCTTTTCAGAATGAAATATCTTGATGACTACTGAAATTTTCTACATATATTCAAGGTCTGTAGAGGAGAAATTCTCAGCCTCAGCTGTACTAGTTTCCTGCTAATAAGCACATGTTAGCATGCTAATGTGCTAAACTAATTGCGAATGCGGTAAACATTATACCTGCTGAACATTTGCATGTTAGCAATGTTAGCACGTATATTAAAGCACCACTGTGCCTTGGCACAGCCTCACAAAGCATGGCTGTAGGCTCTTACTCTATTTTATATGTATTTGTTGCCCCACCTTCATGCTTACTCACTCACGCCCCCTGCTGTCTCTCTCTTAGGAAAACCAGTTGCGTAATCGTTACGGCATCATGGAAGACGACGATAGGCAACAAGCACCGACTCTGATTCCCCCCCGCACCAGCTTTGAGAGGACTATCACTGTTGTCCGGGGCAACCGTAGCCTTGGTATGTTTTCTGTCTTTCTCATGGTGATGGTGTCTTGGTGTGTGTACTTCGCTGGCATGTCAATAATGACGCTAATAGGCGGTGGTGATGACGACTGCCCTGAAGAGGAGTGGTGAAGTGATGTGCTCCTCATACCTGAGGGAGGAGATGATTACTGTGTTTGTGTGTGTGTGTGTGTGCGCGTGTGTGTCTAAGAGGCTAGTATGGCATCAAAGTAATATGAAAGAATATTAAAACCAGCAAGTATATCTTAATTTGAATGTTGATCTAAATATATTTGTTTTTATACTCCAGTGTTGAGAGTACATTGTCTTTACTGCTTCAAGAGCAAGTCCAATGTTGGGCTATTCAAACATGACAGGGTGAAAAAAACAGGGTGTAAGGTGCTCCTGCACTTTCATCTAGGGGCACTTTGCAAAGCAAAAAGGAACAAACTCATTTGTATGCTGGAAATGATTTCTTATAAGGCACCACACTATTCGTGTGTGTGTGTGTGTGTGTGAAAGTTTAAAATTATGTAAATGTTCTTAGGTAGAGAAAATCAAGGTCATAACCTACAGTCTTTGTGTCACTGCATTCTTTGGTTTTCATCTGTTTAAAATATTGTAGGTCTTCTTCCTGAGATATTTAACGTAGCATGGTTTTCTGGAGGGTTTACAGATTTTATGTGTTTTTGGTTATTTTAAAATATATTTTAATTTGAAGCAAAAGCTTCAGCTTGGAGAGAGTTATGGTCTGAATTTGTAAGCCCTACATACTGGAAATTTTTTATGAACACTAGTATTGTAGTACAATATTTATTTGTACTACTTTACATTCTTCCTATTATTAGGTGCCATGAACAATCCTAGACATTGTATAACTCTGACTGTGTATGGATGTACTACAAGGACTGTATGGCTTTTAGAGCAGGTTGTTAAAGGAAAACGTTTGATGGACTAAAATGAGGTCTTTTTTTTCTTGCCTTGCTCGTCTAAAAACATAAATATTAGCAGCCTATTTAGAGGTCTTTGCTTCTTCTTGAATGTTGTGAACCTATTGCACTTATTGTAAGTTTGTGGTACCCTAAAAAACTTTTGTTGAGGTCAAAACAAATAGATTTTTATATGGAAATGTTCACATGGGAATTTACCATTAATTATTATTCAGTTTTTGTAGCAGAGCTTGTAATAGAAAAAAAATATTTTGATGTTGTGGTATAGTATTTCAACTCCTATTACTTCCTGACTTCCTTTCATGTCTTTGAAATTTGTGTCTTGTATTTGTTTTGTCAGCGTCAGTAGCTGGGTCTCCAGTCGATTGTATTCCAGGCACTATGATTGTATTGTAATTTGAATGTAACACCAAAAGACAATAAACTATTTATTTGACCAAAAATAAGCACAAAGTCATTTCTTTGACCAACTTCAAATTCTGTACGACCATAGTGTTGTGGATGTGCATAGTCGTCTATTAGATAGCAATGTAGTATTCAAGCACCGTAGACTAGGCCTAATTTGCTGTAGCCTTCCCTTACTTCAGTGTGTGTATATGTGTGCATGAGGTGTGTGGGTATGTGTGTGATGCCTGATTTACCTGCTTCTGCCTGTTTGCATTAATTAAGTGTTTGTGTAATCCGCCTAGTGTCCAATTTGATAATGCCAAAGTCAGGTGTTTGTGCGACTGGCATGTGTTACCCCTCTAGTCACCTGTGGCCTGTGGCCTATGTGCGTGGGAGTGTGTGCGATTGTGTTTGTGCACCTTGTGCGAGTGTGACTGTGAAGAATGGTGCTGTGTAAATGTCAAGCATGTGTAGCCATGTTTGTGTGCTAATCTGCCTAGTGTCTGTCTTGATTATGCTGATTATGCCACTGTCAGGTGTTTGTTTGGGCGACTGTCTGTTTGGCATGCATTCAAAGCAGCCTTAGCCAACCCTCCACTCACCTGTGCTTGTGTGTGTGTGTGTGTGTGTGTGTGTGTGTGTGTGTGTGTGTGTGTGTGTGTGTGTGTGTGTGTGTGTGTGTGTGTGTGTGTGTGTGTGTGTGTGTGTGTGTGTGTGTGTTTGTTTGTGTGCGCGTTGGCAGGGATGTCGGTGAGTGCTATCAAGGACGGCTCAGGCATGCTGGTGCGCAGTGTGGTTCAGGGAGGCTCTGTTAGCCAGGATGGCAGGCTGGGGGTTGGGGACGCCATCTTGTCCATCAACGGAGAACCTACCTCCAACCTGACCAACGCCAGGGCCAGGGCCATGCTCCGCAGACACTCTGTCATAGGGCCCGAGATGAGGTGAGGAGCCAGTCACTGTCCAACAGCATTACAATATGCAGAGATTTTAGTTCTGGGCTAAAAACAAGAACAGGTGAACCTCCTCATTGTGTAGATCACACACCTCTCATGAGCATTTTAAACTTTTCTCCCTCAACATCACTGCGCTCCCTCTGGATCACCTGTTCTCAATAGCACTTAATCTCATAATTTACAATCTGTGCTTTTCCTACCGTGACATGTCAAAATGTATTGTGTGAAAAAAGTGGCTTGAAGATCCTGCACACCCAGGCAGGTGTTTTCACTTATTCTGGCTTATTAGACATCTGCTTATGCTGAAGTTGGGCAGGTCTGTGTTGGATTTACATCAGGACATCATGACAAAATTATAAAGGTGTAACTCTTTATCCTGTATGATAGATGTGATAAAACTAAAAGAAGGGTCAGAGAGATTTCAATCAAGCACAGTCTGCATAGATGCCCACCAATCCCCAAAAGAGGTCTAATCGGGCACATGAAATTAACACCAATATAACATACAGGAAATTCACAAAAGTTTGAGTTTTCTTATATGGGACACGTTTTATTATGGTGTTCTTAAGTATAGAATTCTACACAATTACACACACAAAACATAATGCCTGGGGCTTCAGCAGTTCTCGAATCATGAGTTAATCTAAACAGGGGCGCTATTCTAAATATTTGTCATTGTTTCCAATTTAGGGTGCCATATTTATGTGTGCCTTGCAAAATCAGTTTCTTCTTTGGAGAAGCCAGTGGCTGACTCGAGTACATTTACATTTGTTTTGAATGTTGATCAGTGTACATTGTCCCTTTTCAAATTAGCAAAAAATCTAATTGAAATGCACTACATACTCAGTTAGTATGTGATGTTGAACAATTTGATTTGCCGTGATGACTCCCAACCTCCTACATACAGTACCAAATGTTAGACTGCTCCAATGCATGTCTAACTTTGACACAGGTGCATCCCCCTGGCACAAAATGCAGAATCACTCGATATTTATACTTTGTTTAAATTAATTACATATGTTACTATATCATTATACTTATACCTGTAGTACTGTATCTATGTAATACATTTTGAGCTTACTTTATTTAAAGTGTACACAACTGTTCATTGCACAAATGCAACCTGTCACTGCACAGTGCTGTGCCTGTTAACGGCTGTTACTACCAAATAAACATGAATTGTGCAGGTCGTAATGTAGCTAATAGTGGCTAAAATGTAACACATAACATTAGTATACTGGCTGTTTCTAAACACCCACATTTAAAACAGATTCCAGTCAGTTATTTAGCACATTTATTTATATGACAGTCATATGCACTTTCCCTCATGTCATAGTTTAAACAAATCTTTGCTTGAAAAACAAAAAGCCAGAGTTCTTAATTTAGAAAGAATGTAGAAAGGTCCTTTGGGAATGCAGAGAACAATCCACCACTGGGAAAAACAAAGGAACTGAATACTGCTAACGTTTTCTAGATCTACCCATGCAGATCTTGACAGTCTGTGTGTCTCAAATGAGTGAGTTTATGTACATCATAAATATAAATATGTGCTCTCTGCAGTCACAAACATGACTTTCACTGCATCATCACGTCTAAATGTCTCACTTTGGATCTCCATTACCACCTTGGTTTTAACGCTGCAGTCATAGTATACTGAGGCGCCACAGTCAAGTTAAATTAGATTAGATGATGAAATTTCAAAGATTGCCTGAGGGGAAAGTGGGTAAATTATTACTTGTTCTAACATCAGCAGTTATGGCTCCACATTGACAATGCTTGTTTGGCTGATTAGAGATGTGCCCCACCTCCACCTCCCTGCTGCCCTGCAAAACACCCACTCACTCTCTCTCAACCTCTCTGTCTCTTTCTCCCTCTCTCTCTCTTGTTTTTACAGGCACACGCACATACACACACTAATATACACACATACACCCTTTCAAGGGTCTAACCTCCAAAAACACCTTATTCCTGGGATGGGAAATATCTCTGAATAATTCATCACTCATCTCACCTTGAACAGTGCGCTTCGGAATAAAAAAGCGTTTTAAAGAGCCTCTCATAGATGCACACAACACACACGAAAATGAACACACACATGTATTCTGTCTTTCTCTATCACATGTGCACACACACACACACACACACACACACACACAAAACACTCACCCGCACACACATGCCCACACTGCCTCCTCCTGACAGCTCTGCAGACAAACTAACAGACAGTGGAGGCAGATGAGATACTTTGGCAGCCTCAGAATAAGACAAACATAGAAGGGCGAGGGCTTGTCACTATTAAAACTGCCTCTGTTGAGACAAGACAGGCTGTCCACATGGCTCAGTCACAACAGCTTAGCGTAGAAGACCTCCATATTCAATCTGCCACCATGAGTGGAACGGAGAAATCGGCTCTTTCAGCAGAATCAAACAGCATGTCTTCTGGCTGGTAGCGTCACACAAGAATGGAAATGGGGGTGGCTTTAACGATGTCCTTGACACTTAAGTTAAATTACATCAATTACACCATAGCTTAGTTAGATCCTGATTGATTAATTAATCTAAACCTGTTTTTTTAGATAATTCATTGGGGGTTGTGAATTCAATACCCCTCTCTCTCAGCTTACAAGCCCCCAATAAAACCACAACTTGCCATTTTTTAAATGTTTTTGTGGTGTCAATCTTCTCACTGAGCTCTCGATTAGATTAGAAAGCAAATAAAAGTTTTTTTTGTTTCCTTCACTGGCAAAGGTAATGCTCCATCCATCCTCTATAGAAACCATTTGCTACCATTTGGCTCGTTCCTTGTCATTGCATTGTTTGCTGCTGAAAGTTAAATAAATGTGCAGCTGTGAAAACAAAGTGGTTGGAAAAGTTAAGTCACATAAATATTTAATATAATTATTTGTTTTCACCCCCCTCTCTTATCCCACATTCCCCTACCCTCAGCATAACCTATGTCCCAGCCCATCAGGTGGATGAGTATCGTACCCATCTATGTTTATCCCCTCTGGCATCCATCGAGGCGGACAGCGGCTCTTCTTCACCCACCCCGCCAGCCCCTTCTCCAGAACCTGCCTCCGCCCCAGCCAGATCTCCCAGTGCTGTCAAAGCCGCAGCTCCAACTCCAGCTTCATCCACCCTCAAATCCTCTGCCTCAGTCAAATTTAAAGCTGCAGCTCCAGATCCAGCAGCAGTCAGAACCTCTGCTTCATGCAAATCTCCTTTCCGTGGCACAGACATGCTCACCACCATCACCCCGGCCTCAGACTCAAGGTAATGTAAGACCCGGAGGTCTCGGCCTATTATTTATGGTCACCTAATTCCTTGTCTGGCCCAGGAGTGCAAGATAAACCTGTCTCATTAGAACTTCAAGACTCCAGCTTTATTACATGTTGATATGTTTTGTGCTGAGAATTCAGACCATGAAATATCTATACATTCTGCCGGATGTAGGTTATTTTAATGTGTTCGGTCTTTTGATTTTTATAGCAGCCAGGGTTTTATTACTGTAACACATCACACAGCTGAAGTCATACTAATGATCAGAGTTATTATCTGACACTTTAATTAACCGTATCCATGAGGAAACAATGTGTTTCAGTATGCAACCAGCTCTCTTCCAGTCCGTATTTTCTGTTCTCCATTCTTCTTGGTGGTAAAGGCAAAAGCGTCTCTGAATGGTGAATCTCTGAGTTATATTTAGCTGGTCGCTTATGGATCTCAGTGCTGACTGTCAGCGAAAATGAATTGTTTCGCTTCTGTCTGTCCCTGCTTTCGCTCCATCTTCGTGCCTCTGCCTTTCTCCTCCCTCACTCACCCCCATTTCTCTCTGCAGCCTTTTCTTCACTCTTATCTTTCAGTTCATTGTCTTTGTGTCTTTCTCTGCTAGACTTCTCTCTTGACTCTTTGTGTCTACATCCGTCTCTCGTCTCTCTCTCTCTCTCTCTCTCTCTCTCCCTCGGTCATCTCGCTCTGGCCTTTTTCTCTTCTCCTAATTCACCCCCTCCTCTCGCCTTGGTCCTGTCCCCCTCTCCTGGTTCTTCAGTCCTGGTGGAACCATTTGTTCTGCCCTCTTCTGTAACTTAACTGGCTATAGGCTCCTGCTGCGCAGAAAGCACCACTATCACTCACCTCCATGGGCTTGTTACAGCCCTCTACCGTTAAATATATTCATGAAAAATTCTCTCCCCACATATAGGCATGGAGTGTATACAGAGATACCATATATATATGTTAACACACAAACACACACACATAAAGACACTGCCTTACTGTGACCTCACAGGCAGAACATTTCAGGACTATTTGCACCTAAAGCATCTGTTCTACTAGTGTGATCTAGTCAAATGCTATTTATTTCATAGAGTGAAGGCTGCAACAAATGATTATTTTCATTAATCTGTGGATTCTTTTTTGGATTGCTAGACTATAAAATGTGAAATAATTGTGAAAAATGCTCGTCAGAATATTGCAGCGCTCAAATGTTTTCAAATGTCAGTCTAAAACCCCAAAACAGTCAATGTACAGTGACATGAAAAGGAGAAAAATAAATCTTCGCATCTGAGAAGCTAGACTGAAAGAATGTTCGGCCTGTTTGCTTGTTAATTAAGTTAAATGACAATGCCATAAATACAATGCAATAAATTTTCTGTAAATTGACTTGTTGATAAAATTGATCAATTTATTAATTTATTAAACGGTTTAAGAAATCAAAAAAACATCAAACATTAATTCGATATTATTTCTCTTTGCATGTTTTCTCACCATCAGTTGGCAGATTCCAAAATCTCTACATCACCAGAAGAAGGAGGAAGGCAAAAAAGATGGAGAGATTGTGGAGAGGAAAAAGGACAATAGTAATGCTGATGGGAAAGTACCAAAACTGGAGGTGGAGATAAAGGTGGATGGTAAAGAGGAGGGAGAAGAGGAGCTTCATTCTCATACTGCAGTGTCTTGGAATGAACCCAGAAGGTTAGTGAATCAGTGATGTAACTAACAATGTCTTTTTCCCATCAGATTTTATTCAAATTTTCTATTTTGTCCCTTTTTTCAAATCTCTGCCCATGATGTCCTTTATCCTCTCGCTGCCAGAGAAGGCTTAGCAAAATCCTAATGTGCTCAGGTTATGCTCACAGGAGGGGTAGAGCAGCACAGTGCAGACTCAACATGGTCATATTTCTTAGGCAGGAGAAAACGACTACTTTCACAACCTGTGTTTATCGCATTTATGACTGCATCCCGCTTGGATAAATCACATAAGCTGCACTACATGCAAAGACCAGCTTTTGTGTGTCTCTCCCTGGCAGGTATTAAATTCTATTGTTTTGACTTAATCTCTGAAACTCGATCTGCAGCCTTAAGCAGCAGATAGAGGGAGACCAAAAGGATAAAAAAAAACACAACTATTGGATTAATTCTCCTTCTTGTTCATTTTTGCAGTAATGTTTCAAACCAAGAAAAGTCCTCATCAGGCATACAGAAGACATACATTCATCATCACTGTCCGTACTGTAAGAAGGATGTTCGGCTCTACAATATATGTGGATGTTGTATCCTTCTTTGTGTTCCAGTGTGCGGCTGACTCGAGTACCAGGCCAGTCCCTGGGTATCAGCATAATGGGAGGCAGAGGTATGGGCCAGAGACTGAGCAGTGGAGAGATGATGAGGGGAGTCTTCATCAAGCACATCAGTCCCGACAGCCCGGCAGCACATAATGGCACTCTCCGGACTGGAGACAGGATACTAGAGGTGCGTGTGTGTGTGTGTGTGTGTGTGTGTGTGTGTGTGTGTGTGTGTGTGTGTGTGTGTATTACAGAGACAGTGGAGAAGACACAAACAATAATGTCTGCAAGGATTGTGTGTGTTTGCTGCATGAGCCTGTGTTCACACACTCTACTGTGTGTGTGTGCTTGTGTATTGTGACTGCATGTACAGTAATATGGTATTGATGATAAGGATAAGATAAGATGATATGATGGTAAAATTATAATGAATGTTTTTGTCCAATGTCTGCCGTGTGTGTTGACTTGGTCAAGGTGTGTGGTTTGGACCTCAGAGATGCCAGCCATGAGCAGGCAGTGGAGGCCATTCGCAGGGCTGGAGACTCTGTGGACTTCCTGGTCCAGTCCGGACAACACAGATCTCAGGTACTAATTCTCAGAAAAACAGCCAAAAAAGGAGCACATTTCTTAGACTGAACCGTGCAATGGATGTTCAGGTATGCATACATTACATTTTGTAGCTGTTCAGTCTCTTGAGGCTCCAGATTCTTTTATGCTGATGTTCAATACTCAGCAAACGCAAGGAGAAGGTGCTGTGTATACTCTATTGGACAACGTTTCGTCAGAAGTTTCAGCAATGTTGTGCGTGGGAGTTTGTAGCATTACAATGTAATGTCCTCTGGACATAAAGCATATTGAACAGAAGTATCTTTGACTTGAAAGCCTATATAGTATCCTGTAACAAACCATGTTGGATGCACCATTTGAAGCCTCTGTGTTTTGCAGTTATATAGGCATGCGTCTGCGTTCTTTGCATCTTTTGTTTCGCCCACAGTCCCCTTTGCTTTCCAACCATGAGAGGCTACCTCCAACACCACAGTTCAACTCACACAGCAGCAAGGTAACACTGCTCCACTAGATACTTTGAACTTCACACTGTGGTTTTCAATTTCAAAGAGATAAATGTGGTGTATAACTTACAAAATGATATGCATTGAAATATACACTCACCGGCCACTTTATTAGGTACACCTGTTCGATATCTTGTTAACACAAATAGCTAATCAGACAATCACATGGCAGCAACTCAATGCATTTAGGCATGTAGATGTGTTCAAGGCAACTTGCTGAAGTTCAAACCGAGCATCAGAATGGGGAATGAAAGATGGGGATTTAAGTGACTTTGAACGTGGCATGGTTGTTGGTGCCAGATGGGCTGGTCTGAGTATTTCAGAAACTGCTGATCTACTGGGATTTTCACACACAACCATATCTAGGGTTTACAGAGGATGGTCCAAAAAGAGAAAATATCCAGTGAGCGGCAGTTGTGTGGATGAAAATGCCTTGTTGATGTCAGAGGTCGGAGGAGAATGGGCAGACAGATTTGAGATGACAGAAAGGCAACATTAACTCAAATAACCACTCGTTACAACCAAGGTATGCAGAATACCATCTCTGAACACACAACAGGTTGAACCTTGAAGCCGATGGGCTACAGCAGCAGTAGACCACACCAGTTGCCACTAAGAAAAGGAAATTGAGGCTACAATTCACACAGGCTCACCAAAATTGGACAATAGAAGATTGAAAAAACGTTGCCTGGTCTGATGAGTCTTGATTTCAGCAGTGATATTCAGATGGTAGGGTCAGAATTTGGTGTAAACAACATGAAAGCATGGATCCATCCTGCCTTGTATCAACGGTTCAGGCTGGTGGTGGTGGTGTAATGTTGTGGGGGATATTTTCTTGACACACTTTGGGCCCCTTAGTACCAATTGAGCATTTTTTAAATGCCACAGCCAGTGCTAGAAGTAGGGCAGTACGCCCCGGTAAACAGTACCGGCACCTCGAAATTTTACTTTTTGGCATATACCGGAACTTCTCCCAAGCTGCCGGTCCTCTCCTCTGCCCTCTTCATATCAGGTTCTCTGGGCGCTACGTGACGCTCACCTGTTCCCGTTCTCGCCTGCCTGTTAAACTCTGTCGGCGGAGAGAGACGAGGGAGAGGAGTATAAGTATTGACAGATAGGTGTCATTTATACTGGAGACGCTGCAGACAGGTCAGAATCAGAGTGTCTCCATCACTTTTTGAAAGCTTTTGTTAAAAATGTTCTGAAAAACAGCAACAGAAATGTCAAATAACAAATGAAATAATGCACAATAACAAAACATGCTGGAGAATGGGAGATTCGCATAATGTATGTGCAGCTGACAAATCTGCAGCAACTGCGTGATGCTATCATGTTAATATGGACCAAAGTCTCTGAGGAATGTTGAAAGTATGGCAAGAAGAATTAAGGCAGTTCTGAAGGCAAAAAGGTCCAACCCGGCACTAGAAAGGTGTACCTAATAAAGTGGCTGGTGAGTGTATATATTTTATGCCTGCCCTAAAATATCAAAAAGCAGTAGCTACTTTTTTGTCTTATAAAGGTCGTGACCACTGCTTAAGATTTCAATTGAACAGATGACAAGCTGTGAAATAATTTGTCTCAGTTTCTGTTTCCACACAGCCACCGATTTTTGGCTGTGGGTGCCTGTAGTGTATAGAGAATGTTATGTATACACTGTATTATATATAGTGATGAGTCAATAACACCTACATGGTATTCCACAAAGTATGAAGAGGTTTTAAAGGATTTTTTGAGAGGTAGATTGCTGTTTTGGTGATGACGTGTATAGGACTATATCTGTGTCTCCCCTCATGATCGTAGGAAGCAGAGACTCTCAGTGGTCTGTTCCTTAGTCTCTCCCCTACAAACCCCTTCATTCCCACCCCCTTTAAGGTTGGTACAGTGTTGTGTGTGTGTGTGTGTGTGTGTGTGTGTGTGTGTGTGTGTGTGTGTGTGTGTGTGTTATCATGGTTATGCAGCATCTTAAAAGCAGCCTAGCATTTGCACTAAGCCAACATCCAAAAACTTAATTAGCGTGCATATTTGTTGATAGAACCCTTGTAGTTCAAAGTCCCTCGCAGCTACCTTGTTTGTTTAAACCCTTTGTTTTTCTCTTTGGTGGAGATGCCTAGCACTCTAAATAGACAGTGCATTCTTTTGAAGTTATTTTTCCATGCACTTATAAGTTAGTTACAAAATAATGCATGATTCTGGTCATCTTTCATGTTATTTTTAGCTGACATTAAAACTGTGTTCATTAATTCATCCTGTTCGTCAGTTTTTCCCACTGCTACATCAAGCACACTGAACAAGCCTCAGGGGTAGTCCAACTCATGCCTGAAGGACCCCTGAGGCATCTCCAACTCTGCCTTTTCAATAATGCAAAACTTCTCCCAAGGTACCTTCGCCGACATCAGATAGAGTTGATCGGAGAAGGCCCAGAACTGCAATCACAGCGGCCGCTGAAGACGAGAAAGACACTGGCAGGAGTAAGTCTCCATAATAAAGACGTCACACAGACATACAAAAGGATCCTTGAAAGCCCCCAGGAACAGGAGCTGTGTTTTGCGATTTTAGTGGCCACCTTCACACAGTGCAGGTCATGTGATGCTCTCTGGCCCAAAGAGACTTGGACACATCCATCAAAAAAGAAAAATGTCATGAGTCTCAGACACATTAAGAAAATGTGATAACTCTTTGAATGATCATAAATGGGCACATTATTCAAAGGTCCATTATTTAAAAGCAACAAAGAGCCATATGAGCAAATTATTTTCATGCGATTCTCATGTGAAGCCTGGTTGGCCTGGTTGGCTTTTTTAATTTAATGAGAATGCATTATGAGCCAAGAATGCAAGCCTAAAGCCTAAAAGAAATGTTTGGGTTTTTTTCTGTACAGTATGTCCTGGAAGAGCAACTTTAATTTGTACGAATGGTTTTACTTCTCAGATGAGATTTGAGACTTTCAGCCTGTTCTTTAGCACAAACAAAAAAGTTTTCCTTTGGTTTGCTCAATGCACATACAGTATTAAAAGTGCCCCGTGGAGTTTTCTTGCAAACAAAATAAAGTTTCACCTTATGTTCAGTGTAACTCATCAAAATGTATTGTGTGTATCCTTGAGGCCTAGCAAAAGTGTTGAAAATATTTCTTTCCTCATTTTCAGGTCCAATCTACTTAAAAGTTTGAAATGTACATCCAATGTACATTACTAACTTGCATTCTTCTTCTTCACTACCTTTGTTGGCTTATTGTTATTGTTTGACATGTTACTGCCTCCTGTAGAGCAGTGAAATTGTATGAAACTTTTAATAGGAACATGCTCAACAAAATAGTTTACTCGCTCATAAAAACACTGATCCATAGCGCTTGTACTGGTCAAAAACCTACCTTTCAGGGAGTCTGTGTGACCATGATTAATTACACATATGTAAATCTGAGTCACGCAAATATATATAGGTACATACACATGAAAATAGCCATGCGCACATAGATAAATTACCAGGCCCCTACATACATAACATCTATTTTAGTGATACAGAACATATGCGCACACTCACACACACATATAGGTTCTCTCTGCACAACCATGCAGACACAATCCACATACAGTCATAGTGCATATGTTCATTAAACAGAAACAGACATCCTTCACATTCCCCTCAACATGACTGACACCATGCCTTCCAGACAAATTGCACCAACACACACACTCACACACAAGCTACTGTAAGGTGTAGTGTGTCCTCTCCACATGAAGTGTCAGTCATTACATGTAGCATTCCACACTTCTGTTTTTTTCTTTTTTTTTCTCAGAGCACCCATCATATCCTCCTCCTGACAGTCTTCTGTTTGTTAACACTGTCTCTTCTAGAAAAGATGCTTGAGCGTTATGGCAGCCTGTCTGGGAAGCTCCATATGATTGAGCTGGAGAAGGACCCTGCGGCTCACGGCCTGGGAATCAGCCTCACAGGGAACAAGGATGGCTCCAGGGCCCGCATGAGTGTCTACGTTGCAGATATAGACCCTCAAGGACCTGCTGGTTTAGACGGGAGGATATGGGTTGGAGACGAGCTACTAGAGGTAAGGAGGAGACTTAATGGGGACAATAAGGGATAATAAGTTAGAAGGGTTTGGGATGAACAGATGGGAGGGGTTTTAGGGGGATATTGGGGTCAAAATTGAGAGCAACATAAAGAGAGTAGTAGGTTGTGTAAGGCATGGATGAGTGCACAGTGTTAAGTACCTGCACAGTTGATTTATCAGACAAATTACCATTTGAAGGATGGTTGGTGCTGGGCTGGATTCTTGCAATGAGCAACCGTGTAATACAGAGGGTATGGGAAATTGAGGTAGAGGGGCCTCTGACGGCTGAGAGGAGGAGAGTCATAAGAAGATGGTAGAAAGGTAGATTAATGTGGAGATGGATGGGATAAAGCAAAAATGTCATTGAGGACTTGATTTTTCTTCTAGATCAATGGTCAGATCTTGTATGGCCGGAGTCACCATAATGCCTCCACCATCATCAATAACACTCCGTCTAAAGTCAAGATAATTCTCATCAGGTAACTGCTGGCATTTGCATTTCCCTCGAACTTTTACAAAACAGGATATTAAAGATGGATAATAACAGGTTTGATTTTGTTTTACTAGGAATAAAGCGGCACTGGGTCAAACGCCTCAGGGATCCAGAACAGAGTGTGAGGATGCAGTCGACTCCCAGACAGACTCTGCAGAGTGTGGAGGATTGTCCAGAGACATCCAGCACATCATCCTACCTCAGGTACAACACTTTGAGTAAATCTTGGCATTAACCACTGTCAGGCGTCCAGTTGCACATATATAACAGCTGAAGCAACCAGTCTGGTGGTGACAGACTCTCACTGTAGCAAAAACAGTCTTGATACTAGAAAATATAATGTCTTTCCCACATCGTTGCAAATATGATGGCAAATCCATATCTTGACACAGCTTTCAGCTTCACTAACTCTTGGTTCAAAGTTAGAGTTTTGTTGTCTGTTCTTTTTCAATCTCCCTCCAGGATCACGTAGGTCTTGGCCTCTGCCTGGTGGAGGATGAATCCAAGGAAGAAGTGGTGGTCAGGTCCATGACCCAGCACAGCACTGCCAGTAAGGTGCGACATCATTAGCAGCATCAACCTCATTATCTTCAACACCTTCATCAATTAGATAAATATGTTTTCTTTGTAGGAATTTGCAGAAGTGGTGTCATTTGAAGTGTGTATAAATCATCACTTAGTCATTTATTATGAATATGCAGGCATAGTTTTACTTTAATAGAAGAATTTAAGTATTCAAATGTACTTGGCCCCTGTCACACTGTTCTATTGTGTTTGGATTATCATTGCTGATGCTTTAAGATGTAAGCAGCTTCAATAATGTTTTAGCCAGGTAAAATGGAGAATATTTAACCTACTACCTCTATTGTTGGGTAGTTTAAATAATAACAATGCATCTTGTTTTATAACAGGGGTAAAATAGAGTGCCTCTGTTTAGGGCTGGCCGATATGGCCAAAAATGTTATCACAATAAAAACATTTCTAATCATTCGATATCGATAATTATCACGATATTTGTTGTTACCACCTGGCTCAAGGCTGGCAACAAAAAGGGAGGCCTCACACAGATAATAAGAACAAAAGTGGTTTATTTAACTCAAACTAACAAACAACTTAACTAAGTTGATAGCGTGGGTAGATATGAGGAACATCAGTCATGTCAGAAGTGTGTGGATGAGTGAGGATGAAGTGTAATGCATGTTGGTGGGTGCAGCAAATCGAACAAAGGAACAAAAGCTGAGGTTGAAGCAGCAGGCCAGCAGAGACAGTGATTTCTAGAAAGACAGCCCTTTTATGCCCTCTAGGAAGCCCAACCCAGATGGGCAGGTAGATGCATTGGACCCTCCCAGCTCTACCTACAAGCCACACCCAGGATCTGCAAAACAGAGAAGACTTACAGGCAGGCAGACTGGGGAAGTCGTCACAATGTCAAATCATTATTTTGTTCAAATTTAAAGGCTGATTTTTGCTTCTGAGTGAAAATTGAAGGAACCAGATGGTTAATTATGTGTTTAAACTTTTTAGTCAGAATGTGACAAACACTTGATGCCAAACAGTGGATCACATAACAAATCTGACATAGAACATTCAAAACTATTATAATAAAATCTTTTTCAACAAATTTGATTAGTAAATATTTGTTTTCAGTTAATTTTCCTCAACAATAGAAATATTTTAATATAAAAATTAAGTGCTAATTTGTAAGGGATTCAAATGAATTAAACCAAATATTAATTGCAGATATATTGAACATTAATTGTACTGTTATTGAGGAAAATTAAATTGCGATAATTATCATTGTTTTATTGCCCAGCCCTACCTCTGAGTGGAAGTAATGTAAAATAGCATACAATGGGAATACTCAGCTGTAGTACAAGTAGTTGAGTTAATGTACTTTGTTACATTCCACCACTGCACAATTTCAGAAGTAGCCTTCGCTTTTTTTAACCCAAACATTATTCTCTAGGCTACATACTCTGGGTATTGTATTAGTGTTTTTCTTCTCCTTAAGATCTGTCATCTCCGTGATTGTAGCCTTCATGACAGTAGACATCATCCTAATCATTACTTTGGAAGCACACAGGTTGCAATTTCATCAGCTTTTTGCATCTATCAAGCCTCAGTAGCTTGACTGTAGCTTTGGTAATCTTTGGTAAAAAATCTATCAGAGACTGGCACGAATGAGCCCCATGTTACTGTACAAAATATGCAGCTGTAAACAGTTGTGTGATAGCTCTAGTCTCTTGGTATTTCTGGTAATATTTAAACCAGAATAACCTCGAGATGGTTGCCATGTTTTAAAGTGATGTCGTCATGTACTAATAAGCTTTAATGTAGGGCCCCAGGCAACAGTTATCCAGATATTTGTCCAGAGGGTGTGTTTGATTTTTCATCTCACTTCTTCTACATCCTTCTGTTACATACGCATTCATACATTTTGTTCAACTTCCATTTTTTATTCGTGTTTCTGTCTGTGTGCAGGATGGCAGGCTGAAGGTTGGAGACAGAATCATAGCAGTGGGTGATGAACCTGTGGCAGGACTGTCAGCGGACAAGGTACAAACACACACATGCGCGCACACACACACTCAATATGCACTTCAAGGTCAAGCTGATTTAATGATTTATGACTCACCTGTCTTCTCTGTATGCAGGTGTCCAGTTTGATTCTCAAACACCGGGTCACTGTCAAGCTCTCCATCAGTCGCTCCAAGAGTCTCTCCTCTTCTTCTTCCCTACCTCCCCCGACAGCTCATACCTATCCCTGCTCTCTCTCTCCTGCTTCCTCCCTAACCCTCCCTGCGGCCTACTCCTCCGCCTCTTCATCCGTGAATACCATGCAGACCTCTCCTGTGGGGCGGTCTGATTGGTTCGGATTAGCTCCCACAACTTCTGACCCTCTGACCTGTCCAGTTATGGCTGGCAAGGAAACCACCATAGAGATTTGTAAAGGAAATGTAGGCCTGGGCCTCAGCATCGTAGGAGGAACCGACACTCTGCTGGTGAGAGCGGCCAATTGATATTTGACGTCAACATTTAATATTGTTGTCTTTGTTTATGAAATGCATTGCAATTCCTGGAAATAAGGTGAAATCATACCCTTAACTTTATTGATTTTTAATTCTAAATAATCAAGATTTACAGCATCAAGTTGGCAATATGGTATTGGGTATGTTTTTGCCAATACACTGCATCTTCACAGACACTGTGAGAGAAAGTGCTGATGCTGTATTGTGCAAACAAACGTTTGTTTGATTTTTCAGTGCATGGTGTTGCCTGAAATACCAAGTAGTAGAATGCTGAATAGTCATTCAGTCTCTGTAATAATGTTTTTGGATTTTTCCACCAGGGGGCAGTAATAATCCATGAAGTAAATGATGGAGGAGCAGCACAGAGAGATGGAAGGCTGCAGGCTGGAGACCAGATATTAGAGGTATTATGGGTACACACATACACACATACACACACACACACACACACACACACACACACACACACACACACACACACACACACACACACACACACACACACACACACACACACTTTTTGTGGGCACATGACCAAAATAAATCTTTTCTTGTTATTTTGGTGATCAGAATTAAAGCCACGGCTTTTCGTATATCTACATTATATCACTGTCCTGTGAAAGCCATGCATCTCCAACTTTTGGTAATTTAAAATTATTCTAAAATGTAATATGTTGTTTCTCATTTCTTTATTTATAAGGACAACACACAGTAGTCAACGGTTCTGTAAATATGCCAGTGTCAGCTCATTGGCTAATTTTAAACTGTATTTCTTTGGCAAGATGTCCTCTGAAAAGATGAAATGCCAAAATCAGCATGCACAAGACAGTGCACTAATCCTGCAGAGCAACAGTACGCAGCAAAACATTGTTGGTTTAAAGCAACATGCATGTATTTTGATGTTATAGCCCACAATTTAGCAAAGCCCTCCTTGTATTTGGTTACTGTAAAATCCATCTGCTGTTTATGGTATACAAATACAGTTACTCCCCATCTCTATTAATACCCATCATGCAACCATGACCTGTCTCCATCTCTCTTACCTCCTAAAGGTAAATGGTATTGACCTGCGGCAAGCCACTCACGATGAGGCCATTGGCGTGCTGCGGCTCACCACCCAGCGTGTTTGCCTGTGTGTCTTCAGGCATCAGGAGGCCTACAAGGAGGAGGATCTGTGGGACGTCTTCAGCCTGGAGCTGAGGCCTCGTCCTGGAGAGGGGCTGGGTTTCACCACTGTGGGGAAGAGGTATGTTCATAATGTTGATTAACAAATATGGAATCTTATATACCTTTAGGTATACATGACCTGATTTTACTGTACTGTATGCTGAATAACATGCGACTTAATTTCATTAAAATCATAGATGTAACCTTCTTTAAAGCTAATCAGCTGGCACAAATTTATGTACACCTATTGATAAAGCCTCTGAACTAAGTCGAGTTTACCAATCAGGTCCTCTGTACTATAGTCTACGTCCTAATGTAAAACTAATTTATTTTCTTCATTTCAAAATATCAAAACCACAAGCCTTGTTTATCTCCCCACACTTGATAAGGCAAAAAATGTCAAAAATTATTTCAGAGTCATATTTCCAAGTATCGTTAACTTTTAGAAACAAACATATTTTAAACAAGTGTTAATATTTTGAACATGATTTATTTTACATTTACATTTAAGTAATGCAACTATTTTTGCTATTCTTTTTTAAAGTTTTTTGTCAATTGTATGTATAATAAGGAATGAAATGACAATACTGTAAAAAGTAAACTTCCTTTTACAGTGTTCTCAAGCTGTGAGGCTTATACCCTGTTAGAGGTCAGGGACTCTGCAGCAACAGGGACCATTATTTTTTTTTAAAAAGGTGATAGACACTTAATGAAATAATACACAATAACAGCTAGAGAGCCAGGCCATAAGGTCACACTGCAGGGAAGACACAGGACACGCATTATTTCTGAAGAGTTTAGGTGCAGATTTTCATGCAGCTTCATGTATTTGCACAATCAAGTGTGACATTATGCAAAACAGCAGGCTTACAGGTCTCATCATTCATTCTAAAAGCGTGGCACAGATACAGCTTTTGACCTCTGTTTTCTTCCAACAGTAATGACACGGGCATCTTTGTGTCAGATATCGTCAGAGGAGGCGTAGCAGATTCAGACGGCAGGTTGTTGCTAGGCGATCAGATTCTGTCAGTCAATGGGGAGGATGTCCGTGCAGCGTCACAGGAACATGCTCAGAAGCTTCTGCAGGTATGACACATTCACACTTACACATTCAAAGTCTATAAACTAATTAGTAGTGGATTGAGCATTTTTTTATGGATTCATCATCTTATGTGTCACTTTTGGTCTTAGAGTTGCAGTGGAGTGGCCCACCTGGAGGTAGCTCGTTTTAAAGCTGGGCTGCAGTACTCACAGCGGAGCCAGGTAAACTGTTTCATCTGGCTGTCTGTGTCTAATCCATGACAGGTTTGCAAAGAAAATGTAAACATTTATGATTTTATCGAGTGTTGAATTTACCGTTTTATTTTATTTTGCTATGATTTCTATTGTTTTGAGCATCCGCACTTTCTTAAATGAGCTCAATCATGTTGATGTTGTCTGCAGTTCAACTATTCCTTTCTTGCACTATTTTAACAATAGTACTTTGTGAACCTAGGAGTACTTTAAGTTGTGTTTTATCCAGAGCGAAGACTCTGACTGTTCCACCCTGACCCCCTCAAGTGGATGTGATGCTCCCCTCGGCCACCAGAGGGAGACAGATAACAAATCAGGGACCTACTGTGAGTGGCTCTCATGTTCAAGAGTGTCTTAGAGCAAAAACATATACAAATTACTATACTATTCTTAAGACTTTGATCATTGACGTTTGTGTGTCAGATGTTCAGCAATTTACTTTGAGTGAAAAGCATGCTGTTAACATCTTCCAGCTGATTATGCAAACTTATGTCCCACAGCATTGCAAGACAACCTTAACATCAGAAGAGTAATAATACAAAAGGTAAGGTATAAAATCTGGCAATATTTTGATGTATATTTTCAGGCTGTGACTCCTATTGTCTTTTTACCTCAAATAACGAAATCCAAATTAGAGCCATATATAACGTCCTTACCTGTCTGGACCCCAGTCTTACATGGCATTAGGTGTTTATGTCATATAATAATAAAGCTGATATTTTTATCCAAAGCAACTTACAATTGCTGTATATGTCAGAGGTCATACACCTCTGGAGCAACTAGGGGTTAACTGTTTTACTCAGGGACACATTGGTGGATGTCGCAGTGGGAATCAAACCCAGGTCTCCCACACCAGATGCATGTGTCCTATCCACTGCTCCATCACCACCCCACAGAATCTGCCATGGTATTGTCTAATATATCTATAATTTGTGTGTGGTATCACCACAGGGTCCGTGTGACTCCCTGGGCATCGGTGTAGCAGGAGGAGTGGACAGTCCCCATGACAACGTACCTCTTTTTATTGCTGCCATGGATACCAATGGACTGGCTGCCAAAACACAGCAATTACAGGTGGGGAGTGCCAATGTATATGTGCCCCTGTGTGTGTGTATGAGTGTATTGTGCATTCATCATATTGTGGGGATAGATCTGTTATTGTCATCACATCATAAGGACTCACCTCCTTGTCTAGGCACAAAAAGTTAACCATTCATTTAACTTGTATGCTTTAATTTTTGGATGAAGATTTGAATTATGACTGTGTTAAGGTAAAATAAAGGTGAAGCTGCACAATCTGGTGCATATTTATTAGAGTAAAAATGGCATGCCATAGGTTATACATAGGAGTTGCAAAGAATAGATGAGCCCACTGGTTCTATTAAGTTTTTCATAAATACTGCATTAAAGACTTACTGTACAAAACATAAAATGTATAGTAGAGAAATGAAATAAATGAAGTATAAATGGAGCCCACCCCACTTGTAGATTAGGAATTTGGAAGTAGCTTACTAAAAGCCCCCAAAAAATCAAAAAGAAAGGAGGGCTTTATAATATCTTAGAAATGCAAAGGGTAACTTAAGGTTGGCTAATGGTTAGGGTTAATTACGTAGCGGGGTTGGTTGATGTTAGGTTATCTCTCTAGGGAAGTCAATACAATGTCCTGCAAACTTTGTGTGTTTGTGTGTGTCAGTCAGACAGGAGACAGGATCCTTAGTATCAACGATGTGTCCACAGAGGGAATGACTAATGTCCAAGCTGGAGCCCTGCTGAAGAATGCCACCGGTACCATCCGTCTACAGGTAATGTCACAGTGAGCCATACAGCAGTCAATCTATAATGCCTGTGAGAAAGTAAATTCAGCAAGTTGTCAGAGAATGGCAGTAATGCACCATAACCTGCTTCCTCTAGGTCATTATTACTTTTATAAAACTCACCAAGACACCATTTTACATAAAAACAACTGAAACAGCAATTCTTTAACAAGGAATAAAAGTTAGACCATTTAAAGTTTCAGTTGTTGTTATCAGTATTTTGCATGTGAACACTATGCTGTCATTTGCAGATAATGGCGTGTGTGACAATGATTGCACACTGTTTGTCTTCATGTTAATAAGCCTCTGGAAAGATTCTTGTTGTAGAGGTAAAAATAGGTACTTTTAAAGAACAAAATGTAAGTTGTTCTTGACAAGTAAATTGTGTGTTTAAAAAAAACACCATCAAAATGACAATTAACAGCAGTAGTATAGTGATTATTGTCCAAGTAGTTAATGAAAAGGTTTATTAAGAGCTTTCAAAATATGTTTGTCTAACTCAATATTTACTCATTCTTTTATCATAATACTTTGTATGTGTGTTTGTGTATATCTAGGTGGCAGCGTGTTCTGGTGGGTTCTGCACAAAGGACCACAATGATGTGCTTGCCCAGTCATCAGGCCAACCCAGCAGCCTGCCCAGCCCTCATAACAACCTCCGGTAAGTTTCATGACAGTCTCTTGTACTTTATGATCTTACTGTGGCTCTCTCCTGGTTTATTCACTGAATAAGGACAAAGGCTGGCTGACCCTGGTCCCCTAGACAATACTGAGGAAGTGCAGTCGCTGTGTGAGAAGCATTGTGCTTTTGGCCGGAATGAGAATTTTCTTGTGATTTTGTTGTCTTTTCAATGGATTGTTTTTATTTTTATTGTTATTATTTTTAAGCCAGATTTCAGCTAAAAATACAAATTTCTTTGTTTCATTTCGTTGTGAAAATAATTATTGTCAGCTTATCAAACTAAATAATGGTTTTGAAGATACTGTAAAACTATAGAATCTGGTAACTGTCATTTTAATCAAGTAAATGATTAACTGAAAGAATTAGACAAATTACTTGTGAAAGTAATTATTTGTTACCTTATTTTTTTTATTAAAGAGACAGTGTATCAGTCTTAAATCTGCTGCAACCTTTTGTGCAAAACAGGCAACCCATCCCAATTTCAAGGTTGAAAAACTGTCCTTAAATATTGAAAATTTGTTTGCTTTAGTTGTGAAAACAAAATGATCTAATAACTCTGGGATTCATCACATTTAACCATGCAGCGAATTCAATATTCACCTCTCACCCACTGTCTATCCTGGTTGGATGAGATCACAAACACACAGCTGATTTCAGAGCAGAGCTAGTGCACCAACTGAAAACATGCACATTAGCATGCCCAGCAAATACACACCTACATTGTTTTGTTTCTATTCCCACAGTACTCGCATGTATAAGACCATCACTCTCGAGAGAGGCTCCTCGGGACTGGGCTTCAGCATCGTAGGAGGGTTCGGCAGCCCGCACGGAGACCTGCCGATCTACATCAAAACTGTCTTCAACAAGGTGAGAGAATGTACTCCAGGGAGAAATCTCTCATAAGGAATCCTGGGATTTGAAAATGTAATTTCAGGACAGCATGGTGTTCAGTTAAATTGGCAGAGTGTCTGTCTGTGCACATATACTGCAAGAAGACAAGAACGGAAAGACAGGAAGCCAAAATTATTAAATGCAAAAGGCTTAAGGTTTACAACAGCTAGTGAGTGAGTTATAATAATATAAATATGCTGTAATTTAAAAATAAAAAAATCACAAATTGTTTCACCATTTAGAATTCTTAGCACACCATTGGTTAAAAGTGTTACACCTTTTATTGTACAGTAATAATGCTGTTATAACATCATCCAGCAATTTATCATGAGATAATATATTTAACATAATTTACATTTTCTTTCAATGTGCGTTGTTACAGTTATAATGGTGTCAACTGTTTGTGATCTCTGATCTGCAAGTAGTGATGGACTAGTCTTTGTACTCCGCAGGGGGCGGCCGTAGAGGACAGCAGGCTGAAACGTGGAGATCAGATCATCGCTGTGAATGGGCACTGTCTGGAGGGTGTGACTCACGCTGAAGCCGTGGACATCCTGAAAAAGACCAAGGGAACTGTGGTCCTAACTGTACTCTCCTGAGACACAGCCCGATGTGTCTGATTGTCATTATGTCTTTGCAAAGTAGCCCATAAAATGCTGTAGCTGCCTCCCATAAAACTGCTTCACACAAACCTGGGACGGCAAATGTGGACAGTTAAAGTGATGTAGTTTAGGTAAAAATCCTAGGAAGAGCAGATACTGTAAGTGTAAATGTACCTGTGTTTAGTTTGGGGGAGCTACCTCTAACTGCAAAATCACATTGGATGTTTTTACATGTACGCAGTATTCTCAATATAAACTCATGTTCCTGTGAAGGTGTTATTTGAACTAAAGTAATTTTATGTCATATGAATCTTCTATCTAAAATTACCATGAAAGCGATGCTCATTGAAACCACAGCACCAAAAGCAGATATCAAATAAGCCAATACCTGAGTGTCCCAACTGATGATGAGATATTGTGTCTTAGTTATCCTGTTCAAGGTATTTCATTGCCCATTTAAACACACTCATGAGTAAATTACCATCCCCCAAATTCCTGAATCTGCCAACCGTACATATGTATGAAATAGAAACATGTCTCAAGAAACAATCTCACATGTATTTACCACTGTCTCTAGACTTCTGTTCATTCAGAGTTAACTACTGTGATAGACTCCTATGCCAAGTGCTTCTGCCAATCTTTTGTATGGCAATAAGGTTTTAGGACATTTGCTTTGTTTTACTTGTATTCATCATTCTCATATTCTTATAGTTAAAAGTGTGTCATGATTGCTTGAATATGATATAACAATGTATTACTAGACATGCTTATAGTTAGCGATGATAACCACCTTATGTTACGCAGGTAGAATAGGGAAAAAATCTTTTTCATCTGTTAAAAGCAGCTGCTAATACCAGTTACTTTAAATATCAGCTGTGCGAGTAACTGGTTTATTATTTATTACTGTTTTCATCATCTTTAACTTGATGAGTTGTTTTTAGGACTTCAAATGCATTGTGTTATGGTATAACGTGCAATTTTTATTTAGAAACCTTCTTATACCCGTTTTATATGAATTTATTTATACTGTGTTATTTATGTTTTCTTCACAGTAGTTACTTTTATTTAATTTATGTCAGTAGTCCTCAGAGCACACACCAGTGTGTTTGGCATTGTGTAACAGTGTATAACTGAATGTACTGTAAGGGATCTTATTAAATGTTCATTTGTTAGAGTTTTATATACCAAACCTTTTTATAGTTCAGTACGTTTTATTATTCCATTATTAGAGATGTACCATGGTGAAACAAGCAGTCACCTTAAATATGGTCATATTTTAATGAGAAGACAGCAACCCAGAAATATTTCTTGTTATCGGATGCTTGGTGGTGTCTCTCTGGAGTAATACTGAGTAGGATAAGCCAGTGGATATCACATTGTTTGACTTTGAAAAGCCCACAGATGTAGACCAGAAAGAAGTATTTGAGAAAATCTAAGATTCCCAAACTGTTAAACAAGGACATCTGTGCCTGCAGATACATTTTGAAGGATACATGCAAGAACTTTTTTTTAGCATTTTTTGCATATTTTTGCATTTATTTCCAAGCCAGTGAACTGATTTTTTGCCTTGGAGATGTTTTATTGCTGTGGCTATCCTCTTTGTCTCTCCCTCGCTCTTTGTCTTTGTCAAACGTGAATACATATTCAGGATCACTCAGGTTTAATCAAGGTGCCAGGATGAAGTTTATGTCATACAATATATCATGGAATGACAGGGCAGCACTAAATCACAGAGAAGGGACTAGAGTGACAAGATGAGAGGGGAGAAAAAGAGAAAGCTGAAGAAATAAGTCCAAAGTTAGGACAAAGGCGTTTTTTAACCTGTGTCCGAGAAACACCAAGGAAGCGTAAACCGGTGCCATTTTTTTGTAAATGTGCAGAACTTTCACTTTAATTACTGGAGTTACTGGTGACAACTTGACAAACAATACATTTGCACACAAATGTCTCATTTAGGAAATAGGAGGCATCTAGGGAGATCCTGTCTGGAGCCTCCGCATTAATCAAAGCCATCTGTTCACATTGCAAGCTTTATTGAAACCCAGCCATCGCAGTCTGGTTTATCCTTCTCCAGACGAATGATTGCCTTGCCTAAAGGCTGGCATGAAAAGGGCTTTACAATGGAGAAATAGCAAAATGCTTTTTGTGCATTTAACCAGGATGTTTCGAACTAAATAATGGTTCTTCCTTTGTGAGAAATAGAATTCTGCTACCTGTTTGGCTTCTAAAAACAAATCTACGTGTTTCTACATTTTTAGCATTTGAAGTTCAATGGATGTACAGCTCTTGTGGGAGTAGCAGGGGGCAAATGCATTTACATCTGCCTTTCTTCTCTTACATTAAGCAGGAAAACTTGCTGATTTTCACAACCAAGCTCAAATTCCTTCTCCGCCAGACATTTCTTAGGAATATGCCAGCAGGCAATGAGACCTTTTCCACAAAACTGTAATGCATTTTTCTGTGGTTGAGAATAAGATGACTTTCATGAGAGCACGCTTGACATGAAAGGCACTAATGATCCTCTCTCCTGGGAGGGTAGCAGTGGCCAAATGATTGCTCTGTTGTGACTGTCACATCTATCCATGTTAATAAATCCAAAGGATAGAGTCTTTTTGCTGTCAGTGTCACCCGCTGGTACAGAGAGAACAGCCAACTGATGGTGGTTCCAAAAAAAACTCTTCTTCTCCATCCATTCCCATGAGATACTTTTTCAGCTTGCACTGCAAAATGCCTGTCCTAAGTAATTTAGTCCAGTGCTGAGTCTTAAAATCTTGCTTTCTTTAAAGCAAGATAAAAATATCAGGGAGATTCACTGAAGCCACTATATATACAATAGGTCTACAGTAATTACAGTAAATTGTCAATTTAGATGCCACTAGTTCCACATCAATACTGAGTCTAGAGTGCCACATGCAAATGAGCTGGACTGATGGGAAAGTTGGTGCAGAGAAGCACACAAGCCTACATCATGTCATTTATTCAGTAGTGTAGCCTGAAGCGAGAAATAATTAGACACAGTCATGCAGTCATAGCAGAGAAGCACTGCATGACATGCCACATCAGATTGTTGTGAGTTTTAAAACTGCTGTTTTATTAAAACAAGAGTCTGCCTGTCAAGTAATTTCACACTTTTCAATACAGATTATTAAGACTTCTCTCTCCTTAAGGTAAGGCTGTAGCCATGATTTCAGAAATACTGAGGCCATGAGTATACCCAAGAGACCTGAAAATGATCATATCATTTTTGATATTTGTCCCTGTTTGCAACATGGGATTATAAATGCCCAGATCATGGTGCGCATGTGCTCTTGTGCATCATTACGCAGCGGCAGGTGTCGGCATTTTTTGCAAGACTTCGATTCAGAGACTTAAAAAGTTCTTACCTTCCAAATGAAGAGGACAGAACAGGAGTCTGTCGTGCACAGGTCAGAACTCACCATAGGTAATGCCTTTCAATTATAATTTAAATCGGTTTTGGTGAAGTCTTTATATAAATATGTAAAACACAATTTGAGTAGGCCTATGTGGCTCAAATCGCATACATGCCAGAACACACTTCCAATTAACTGTGTCAAGGTTAAGGTGAACACAAGAGTTTGAAACTAAAGTCGCCATTAACGAGTGCGTTGCACTTTCTCCGACCCTGCTCCTCTTCCTACCACTATAACAAATGTTGACAGTGTCGTATTTAATTATGCTTAGTCCTTCTTAAGTTTTAATTTTGGTCTTATTCAGCCCGACATGTGCTATTCCCAACATGCAGCAGAGTTAACTATATGGTTAAGATTGTGAGACCAAAAACAGTACACAACTGTTTTAAATCTTAATTAAATCTTCTCCTCTTGTCGCAGTAATGTCTTATATCCACATGGGGGCGGTGTGTGTGTTGTTATGAAGACACTGCATGATCGGACTCATTGGTGAGGAAGCAACATTAAATCTAAGTGATTTGATTTGCTCGTTAGCCTCAGGCTCCAGACAAGCACATTCGTGCCTGCAGCAAAAGGCATGTAGTATTAAGACCTGTCTGTGGTCTGTTCATACCGTACAGCATATTAGTCACACAGTAATAAGCCTAGACTGAATGCAGAATGAAAGGAATAGGAATACAAACATCACACTTTGTCTGCATGAACATTTTAGCAACTGGGAGCTGAAGAAGGGACACTTTAGGGGAGAAATAGCCCCCTGTCATGGCAACCAATAGCAATTTACCATTCATTATAAGCTGAGCTGCAGCAGGCAGTTTGACCTGTTTGCTGCAGTCTGATCTCCTCTGCTGGATGTGTCACATAAAAGATCTGCCACACTCTGCCAGCCCTACAATTTATAGCAAATACACTGACACAGACACACAGAGTCTGGGTTCAAAACCAGTTCAGCTTTATTAGAAGAAGTAAGGGAATAAAAAAAGCAAAACAATTGCATGAAAATGTTAAGGCCTGTCTAGAAAGGCGTGGATTTAGACAACAGACTGTGATTTGTCCAATCGCCGGTCATCGCCTGAGTAACGCTGGAAAGTCTCTCCCAGCAGTGGCTCCAGGGCCTCAGCTGAGCGGGAAGAGCGGATGCGCATGGCACAGGCAATGACGGCACCCACTATTGCCACCACCAGCACCGCCGCGACAATGGCTATGGTGATGATCTCAGACACGGTGTAGACACGAGCTATGGAGAAAAAGAGGGAGGTGTTCAGGGGTCATTGGTTTTTGTGTGTGTGCATGTGTGTGGGCTGCAACTCACTTGGCCACTGGACCTCATAGGAGTATCCCAGGTTTTCTGGGGCAGAGACAAACATCTCAGCATTGGTAACAGGAGGCCAAAAAGGAACCATGTTGAATCTCCGGTTGTGCCCAATTGGAGCATTCTCCTCAGGATAGACTACATCACCTGCAGGATGAGAAAAAATACATTTGTCCATTCATTCATTCTTCTGAGTGAGTTACGTTTCATCTAGTTTCATCAGTCTGTGTGTACCTGGTTGGTGCCTGCTGAGCCACTCGTCGAAGATCGCATCGGTGAATGTGTGCAGCAGGACAAAGATGGGATCATTGGGCGAAAGGTGAGTCTGCCCTCCCGTCCCGTTGAGGAAGAGGTGGGCCAAGTTATGGAGGCTGCGGATTACTGGGTCGTACATCCCCTGGGGGGCGCTGTAGCCTAGAAAATACAGAACAACAAAGCCATTAAATGAAAGCTCTGATTTACCAAAATTAGGAACAACAAATGCTGTGATGGAGCTAACCATATGTGGCTCTAGTGTGTATGTGTGTGAGTGTGTGTTTCTGGCTTTGTGTTTGTATTCGTGCAGTCACACAGTACTTAAGCAGCTCTGTAGTTTGAGCTGAGCCCAACTGAACCTGAAAATCCCCCTTCAGTTCTTGGGTGGATGTTAAATCTTAAGCGCTGCTTTGATTCTGAGCAGTGACGCATAACTGCGCACCTTCAATGGTGTTCCTGAAGCTCTCGGAGGAGGTGGAGTAATAAGGTGGCGTGTCGAAGGTGTTGAGCTGCAGACAGTCCAAAACATCCTGTGGCTCTGGCAGCCTCTGCACCATGGGCCGGGCCACGTTGCCCGCTGGGTTCCTCCTAATGGGAATGGTCTCTGAGCCTGGGTGATAAGGACAGAACCTGAGGTCAGAGATAATATTATCTAAATCACGTGAAATAAAATTACCTCTGCAATCAGACATCAGACCATTTGAATAGTTACAGTTTTTGGGTTAGGAGGGCACTCAGATTGTAGTTCACACCCAGACCAGTGGTCCCCACAGAAATAGTAAGAAAGATAATTAGAAATGTTGTATTATTTAACTACGTAATTCTATGTGGGAGTCTAGACTAGTTTGATCAGTCTTGAACATGACAGGGTGGCAGTTTTCTTTTTGAATTATTCACTAAAAGTCAACAGTAGTGAGTGGGAGCTCTGTGACTGAACAGAAGATTCCCCCCCCCCTCTTGCACACATGATCTCATTCTTTCTTTTTTTTGGTGTGTGCTTTCTCTCCCACATATACACAAACACACACAAGCACATAAACAGAAGGCTACATAACTGCGTTGTCTGTCTGTTTGAAGATTATTCCCTCAGATCAAAGGAACCAGTAGAGTGCTAGATTCCTGTCTTCAACAAGCACATGCACAAATGAGGCAACCCCCCTAACCCATTTAAAGAGA